CGCGGCGCCTGCGTCAGCGGTGCGGGCGTCCAGAGGGCCCAGCCTAGTTGGGCTACGCAGCGGTTGCAGTGTCTGTTGCTGGTGGCGTTTGTAGTAGCTGGCTAGGAAGCGTGAGCTGCCAGCAGCAGCGGGTGACGCGTAACGGAATGAGGGCAAGGTGATGTTGGCGAACGAGGCTTGGCTGAGGGCCAACGAGGCGGCGTGTACTTGGCGCAGGTCCTCCTCGAAACTCTGGTTATCCTGCGTCTGTTCCGCCGCCGTTCCCAAAGCGTTGCAGAATCGGGACGCCGTGATTCGGCCTCCAAGTGAAGATGGCGCCTCTTCAAAGTCGTATTTATCCAGCCATTCGGGAAGGTCTAACTTACTCAGAGACTGAGCCACCCGAAGCTCGTAGCTCGAACGAGCCCGCTCCCGCAGTTTGGCGATTAGGGAGCTGGTTTTGGTCAAGCCATAGCCGGAAGCATTGCCCTTGTCAACACCGCCATGGCAGCCGGCACCACTGAAGGGCATCACCTCTTGGCTGCCCGAAATGTGTGTGCCGAATGGATAATTCGCTGCATCACCATGCAGCAGCCCCTGCATGCTCTTGGCCTTCTGCCAAGGCTGGCCCGACGACGACTTGCCGCCTTGACCGACCGTCCCACAGAAGCCATGAGGCAGTCTGGACCCCGAGTTTGCCGCCACCTCAGGCATGGCTGAGCGACCGTAGGACGGCGTCCCGGAGTATTGGCCACTAGTTTGCATCGAGCTTAGGTTGAATAGGCTTCTGGCCCTCTCATCGGCCGTATTTGCTGCCGAATGGACTGGAGGAATCGCAGTGGCAACCTCTTCCCCTGCCTGCCAGTCATTCCGGCCTGCGTTCTCGAGGTGGTGTCCCAGCGGAGTGCTGGAGTATAGGTTGTGACGCCGGGAATTGTCGGCTTCCACGTCTCTAAAACTGCCCACATTTGTATTCACTACCAGAGGCAACTCAAAGTTCTCTCCAGTGTCAATATTCGTCTCAAGCAGGGACGTGTAGGAACGTGCTCCGGAGAAACACTGATGAGCCGAGTAGCAGGGAGACTCGGGTGGAATGGCGCCAACCACCGTTGACATGGAGTAGTTGTGTCGGGTCAAATTGTACAGTGAGGCAGATGTCGAAGCCTTGTTCTGTTCCGGGTCGGAGATACGCTCTCGTTTTGTTTGCATCCGATCGCGGTCCTCTGCACAGGAGGCTTCTGCCATTGCAGAATCTAGGTCTGTAGTACGGTACCTTGACAGGGACCTCGAGGTGGCGTTCTTTTTGTAGCGCTTTTGGGAATTATTCAACTGCTTATAATGACGATCCGAACCACGTTGACTGCTCCGGCTGCGCAAGTATAACGGGGAGCCAATTTCCTCCTTAACTAATGAGCCTTGCTCCGGCCAGCATGTACCGATTTGCGACGGCACCTTCACCCGAGACGGACTCAGGCTGGTTGAGCGTGTCACCTCGCCAGGAGGCAGTAAGCACACCTCTTCCGCCTGACTGGGCAAAGGAAGCACAGGCGCCTGAACTACCTCCACTTGGCCCTCAACGAATGCCCCAGCAAACTCTGTTCCTGCTCTTTCCACTCCTTCCTCCCCAGCGATCCATGACTCTCGATCAAGTTTAGGCTGCTCGTGCTGTTGGTAGACCCTATGATGATAAGCCCTCTTCCCAATACGCTGCTTCTCGTAGTGACCATATGGTCTGGCTAACTGCGTCCCTCGAATGGCCTCATCCGTCTCCTGACTAAGACGATGGTACTCGTTTGCGCCTGCCGGCCCCTGTCTATAGTACTTCTTACGCTGCTGCCAGCTAGGCAGCTGGTGATGCTGACCTTTGGTCGGAGAGGGTGACTCGTTGAACCCGTCTGCAAGTGCGTTTTCACACTGCTCGAGAGGTTTGGCGTACCAGTGGCCATTTCCTATCTTTCGATGGTTCGTTTCACTCAGGCCCACTCCACTTGGCCGGACCAAGGGGCTGGCCTTCAAGCCACCCAAGGTCCCTGTTCCCTCCAGAGGTTGGCGACTTCTCTGCCAGGACTTGATTGTTACCAGCCCATTGGCCTCGTTATCTTCTGCCTCATCAGTATGATCACCAAGTTTATCAGTCAATTGGGGCTTTCGAGAATCGGTGTAACCTTGAGGACACGGTCTGGTCTGCCAAGGTGCCACAGTTCCTAAGGCTGGATTCGAATTGGCCACGGCCACTGAATTTATCTGCTGTCCAACTGCCTCTGGCCGCAGGGTTATAGAAAGCTGAATCTCTTGTCTATTTTTTACATTGGGAAACACATAGTCTTTTTTGCTGACAATAGATTGGCGCGAAGCAGTAACGAAAAGGTCCATCTTTTCCTTTTTGACATTCTCTGAAAGTTGATAGGTTGTCCTATCTGGCTGCTCCTGGAGAGTATAATCAATCCGTTTACCATGCTGGTGGACCATTCTCTCTTGCCCTCTCTGTGCTTCTAGAGGCACACTCTCTCGCCTTGCCTCTATCGGTTCATTATTGGGAAGGCTGCGGTTAATTGCAAGCGGATTCGTCCAGTTTTGACCATCTTGGGCTTGATTCCATCTGCCTTTTTCGCCCGGGTCAAAATTTATATTGTTTTTTTTATTGTCTAAGGTCTGCTTAGTATACTTGAACGGACGATTTTCAACGTGGATTGTAGAAGCATTTAGGGTTTTGGCCCCAGCTTGTTGAGGAGTACCAGGATTTGTGGGATGGCCTGAAGTGTTGTTCCAGCTGGCGTAAGCATACCGAGAGTCGTTGTGGCTAGATGAGCTAGCGGAAACTAGATCTGAAAAAGAGGACGAATGCAAAGTATATAAAATAGCTAAAAAGGGAAAAATGTGTCAACCACAATGATGAATTTTAATAATCGGTTAATTTTGCAAATTCACCGCTAAATAACAGCAAACTGGCCTTTAAGCCCAGTATACAGGGAAGCTACAGTGCCGAAACAAGACGACTATCTGCTATTGTTCGAGTGACCATTCTACATTTATAATGCACATCAAGATACAGGAGACGGGATATGTTAACTTGCGTAATATTAAGATAATTTTTTAATGTTTATGTAAAATGGAGATAAAGACAAACATTCCTCAACTAATGAAATGTAGATACGAAGAAAAACTTGGTTTCGATTAATCTCCTGAGATAACATTATTAGGGGGACCTTCATTTCGTATGAAAGTGCATGAAGAAGTGATTCGTTGGTCGATCTCACCAGATGAGGACGGATGAATCTCGTTGTACTGCAGCCGGTTGGATTTTGAACGATATTCATGTTGACGCAGTCCATGGGACTTCCTCCCTTGTTTCGGGTGAAAACGTGCTGAGCTTTCGCCCATCATATGATAGCATCATTAGAGCTGGGTGTGATTCTTGTAAAAGGCTTTCGTTAACACTAGGCGAAGAAGACTATCCGGCTTTATCTTACCTCTTAGATATCTATATAAGAGGGATGAATTATATATGTCTATATAAGATATCTATATATCTATATAAGAGGTAAGATAAAGCCTGATAGTCTTCTTGGCCTAGTGTTAATGAAAGCCTTTTACAAGGATCACACCCAGCTCTAATGATGCTATCATATGATGGGCGAAAGCTCAGCACGTTTTCACTCGAAACGAGGGAGGAAGTCCCATGGACTGCGTCAACATGAA